AGTGATTTCATCGCGTTCGTAGAAATTTTCATAATTTACTATATAAATTTCTTATATGTTACTCTAAACATTTAAAAATTATAAAAATAAAAGAAGTGTAAGAATTATTACATTTATTCAGGCATGGTCACGTGGTCTTATGTATTAACCTGAGAAAAGCAATCTGATTTTGATGTTGTTTGTCATGGTTTCGTTGTAAATTTTGTTTGGAGTTTCTTAATAGATCTTCATCATCAGGATCTTCTCTGGGTTATCATCATCAGCTGTAAATCATTCTCAAATTGAACGTCCAAGTGTCGCCGACGACATTATTACCTAATGAAAATTCAGTCACTTCTCTCTTTTGTTTGGTTGATAAGAAAAAGTTATTTAGGGTATTACTATCGTACGACAACCTTAATATACGGTTAAAAAATATCCTACTAAAATTTTAATAATTTTTTAACATTTTCGGTAAATCGCTATTTAAAACATTATTTTTTTACCGGAAATTTTAATTTCGCTACCTAATTTCCGATAGAAAAAAATAAAATTTTAGGTAGCGCCCAATATTAATATTTATGGTAAAAAAAAATAATGTTTTAGGTATAGCTTTACCGGAAATGTTAAACATTTTAGGTAGCGCCCAATATTAATATTTCCGGTAGAAATAATAATGTTTTAGATAGTACTTTATCGGAAATGTTAAAAAAATAATAACATTTTCGACATCACTTTTTCTTAACTGTATATTAAATATGTCGTACCTTAGACATCACGTTATTTACTCAATATCCACATCATAGATTATTAATATATTAAAAAAGAATATAATTTATTTTTATAAACAATACTTGTTTATCTGAGAATATTGTTTTTGGAATAATACGTACACACAAGTTATGTAATTTATAATAATGATTAAAGTATTGTTTTTGTTTTTGAGGACAATCCTGAAAAGCATTGGTGTCTGTTAGGGCGGTAAAAAGTTGACCCGACTTGTAAAATTGATTGAAATCGAATTGAGTCAAAATTATTTTTGACTTGCACTGTGGCGATCCGAAACCGACTCGAATCAGAATCGGTGTTGACCTGAACCCGATTTGGACCTGAAAATTATGGATCCGAACCGATCTGCATCCGACTGATATGAACCTGAACCCGAGATTGACCTGGTAAATAACTGGTATTATCCGACCTGTTTTCAACCTGATCTGTTTTTAACCTACATGTTTTTAACCTGACCTGTAAATGATCCGACTTGCTAATGACCGATATGATATTTATCTGACTTATATATTACCATGGAAATCTTATAAATTATCAGTTTTTTAACTTATGATGTAATTAAAATATTAATATGATTACTTTTTAAATGTTAAAATAAAATATTTATTATGATAATTATATTAATAAATAGACCTATTATATAAAATTATTTAATAAAATTAATAAAATTATTTAAATGTAAATTAGATAAAACATTATTAATAATGCAAAGGAAAATTAATATAGTTTAATTTATATAAATTATAAAGTTAAATTATATAAAGAAAAAATAATATTAATAATAAAAGTATTTATTATGTAATATATATTAATGGTTTACATTAATAATATAAATAATTTTGGCAATAAAATAATAATTAATTTGATAATAAATGAATATTAGTATTAAATGTGATTAATTCTCTAAAATATAAATATAAACTATACCGTTTAATTTTTGTACAAAATATTATCTAACAATTATAACATAAATGAAAAATAATATAAATATAAACTATATCGTTTATATAAACTATATACTTTATTATTTTATATAGTTTATGCATAGTGTTTCTATAAATTGCATCAAATTGAAAATTTAAGAATATATTTACAATTAAACCATGACTAAAATGAAAGAAATTAAAAATCAAATACAAGTGGAAAAATGATGATTGTTGGAGGAGCATGAGCCTAATTAACCCAAAATATCTTGTTCGACACTATATTTGGCGCCAACTTCCCAAAATTTTCTATTCCCTCTAAATTTCTCAATTTCCCTCTAAATTATCAATTTCCCTATATTCTCAAAATTTCCTAATCTCCCTCTAAATTCTCAAATAAAATCAAAAAATTTTCACATAAAAATCTTTCTTTTAAAAAGTTTTCTCCCACCACTCACTTTGAATAATATATATATATATATATATATATATATAATTAAACATAAGTGACTAAAATAAAAGATTGTAAAATTAACATTAACATTTAATAATTAGCCTACATGTATTACAAATATATGCAATTAATAAAAAAACAAAAAACCCTAAACTACTACTAGCCGCCGATTTTTTTGGTGAAGGAGGGAAAAATTTTGACTTTGGTTTTTAAAAGGAGACAAAGCACTAAATGTTGGCCTAATGTTTTAGGTGGTGTGATGCCACTGAATCCAATGGCCAAGATATTGTCTTCTCCAAGAAGACTCCAAGCTTCATTAACGTCCTATATATAAATTCTAATTATTTTTAATTTTCTCTTCTTTCTTTAATGTGCATAATTATTAAATATTAATGTTAATTTTAGAATCTTTTATTTTAGTCACTTATGTTTAATTATATATATATATATATATATATATATATATATTATTCAAAGTGAGTGGTGGGAGAAAACTTTTGAAAAGAAAGATTTTTGTGTGAACTTTTTTGATTTTATTTGAGAATTTAGAGGGAAATTGGGAAATTTAGAGGGAATAGAAAAATTTGAGAAGTTGGCGCCAAATATAGTGTCCAACAAGATATTTTGGGTTAATTAGTCTCATGCTCCTCCAACAATCATCATTTTCCACTTGTATTTGATTTTTAATTTCTTTCATTTTAGTCATGGTTTAATTGTAAATATCTTCTTAAATTTTCAATTCGATGCAATTTATAGAAACACTATGCATAAACTATATAAAGTAATAAAGTCTATAGTTTATATAAACCTTAAAACCTAAATCATAAACCCTAAACCCTAAACCCTAAACCCTAAACCCTAATACATGTATAAACCATGTATAGCAGTGGCGGATGCACTAAGCCCCCATAGGGGTCAAGTGCATCCCCATTATTTTGGAAAAGTGGTAAAATTTAGCTTAATGTGTAAAGGAAAAAAGAAAAAAAATTACAATTTTTGCATACCCATTATTTTTAAGAAAAGAAAATTAGAATTTTGGATCCCCATTCCTAAATTTCTGGATCCGCCACTGATGTATAGTATATATAAACTATATATATATATACCTATATATATATAAACTATATAAAATAAATTACTTATATAGTTTATAGAAACACTATGCATAAACTATATAAAGTAATAAAGTTTATAGTTTATAGAAACCCTAAACTCTAAATAGACTAATGCATACATATATATACTATATTAATATAAATTATAACATATAAACTATGTATTTTATATAATTTATTCATATATAGTTTATATATATATACTATATTAATATAAATAATATTTTATAAACTATATACTTTTTATAGTTTATAAATATATAGTTTATATACATAGTTTATATATATAATTCACATAAACATAATTTATATATATATAACTTATAATAATTATATAGTTTATAATATAAATATAGTTTATAATTTTATATACATAGTTTATATATATAGTTCACATAAATATAATTTATATATGGTTTATAATAATATATAGTTTATAATATAAATATAGTTTATATAAAATTTTATATTATATATATATATATATATTATATGTTTTCAATTTTTTAAATGAATGCAAGTTAGTATATTTTTCATTATTTCTTCACATTTTGCATTTATTTCGATTTAATCCTTTTGTTTTTTTAATTTATTTCAATTTCAAGTCTTTCACTTTTATATGTATTCAATTTAGTCTTTAAATTTATATTTACATATTCCATTGTTCGTTGTTATTTATTTATATTTTTATAATTGGCCCATAATTTTTTAAATTTGTTTAATTTAATCATTTTTTATATTAATTTAAACATCACATTTTAAATTTATTTCGATTTAGTCCCTTACCTACGTGTGTTGTTTAATTTATATTTTAAGATTTTATTTTTAATTTTACATTTCTTCAATTTTGTCATTAAATTTATATTTTTTACAAAATTGATCTATGAATATGTATTTTTCTCTTAATTTACTCGTAATCATATACAATTACAACTTGCAATTCAACAATCACGAAAGATGAAAAAATAATTAATCCAAAAAATAAAAACGACCCGACCTGAACTCAATCCGTATCCGATAAACATCCGACCTGAATTTTATCTGTCAATAATGTGACCCGATCTGAACGAGATCCGACTGAACTCCATCCGAACCTGAATTAACCTGGTCTTTATCTGCTTCGGACTTGAACTGTTTTTACCTGAACTGACATCGATCCGAACTGAAAATGACCCGACCTCAACCCGATCTAGATCTGGTGTCAAATCAACCTGAAAATAACCCGAATTGATTTGACCTGACCTTAATCCGATCTGAATCTGGTGTCAAATCAACCTAAGTTGATATGTACCCGATTTTATCCGATCTACTAAAATCCGACTAAACCTGTCCGATTACCTGATTTTAATCCCTAATGTCTGTCTTTTTGGAAGTGCCATAAGAGAATCTTTATATGGCCCAGCGACTGGTCTTCAATGTAACCTCACGTGCAGCATGATGTAGTTTTTTGTTCTCTTTTGCTCTTATTTTATTAATTTCTTCTGATGATTTCACTTCTTTCTTTCATGGCGGATTACATGATAAAAGGGAGACTTTGTTTTAGCCTTTTGAATGCCTAACCCACTTTCATCTTCCATTTCAGATTCTCTTTTACTTTTTCTTTTCAATCATGGCGTTAGAGGCTATAGTTTACCCCCCAAGACCCGTTTACTAGTTACATTTTCGACGATTTCTCCACCGTGGGTGGCGGACCTAACCCCGACGGGAGCTATGACTTCTATTTCCATAATGAAAATACAGTTTTTCTTGGAAATTTCGTCAACATTGCAAATTGGGACTCTTCCTCCACTAATTCAATCATGCAACATGCAAAGGATCAATGGGATCATTATTCTTCTCCCAAAACTTGCACCGTTGAACAATTTCTCCCTGCAGCCTTAATAATATTCCCTCGACGAAAACGTCGACGAACAAGGAGCAGCAAGAACAAAGAAGAGCTAGAGAATCAGAGAATGACCATATCACCGTTGAACGTAATCGCCGGAACTGCAGCCTTAATAATTTTCCCTCCATCATCGGAACGTCCGGCATCGACCACTACAAATAATCGACGAAAACGTCGACGAACAAGGAGCAGCAAGAACAAAGAAGAGCTAGAGAATCAGAGAATGACTCATATCACCGTTGAACGTAATCGCCGGAACCAAATGAATGAGTACCTGTCTGTGCTGAAATCCTTGACGCCATCTTCATATGTTCAAAGGGTTAGTTTGTTAATTAAATCTCTCTTTTACATCACTTAATCGTGTTTGAAGATGAATTAATACCTAAGGAAGTAACAAATTTTTTTTCAGGGCGATCAAGCATCGATAATCGGCGGAGCCATCGATTTCGTCAAGGAATTAGAGCAGCAGTTGCATTCCATGGAAGCTCACAAGAGGACGACAACACAGCAACATCAACAACCAGAACAAAATGGTTGTCATTCTTCGCCGTTTGCCGACTTCTTCACCTTCCCACAATTCACGGCTACGGTGGAAAGCATGGCGGAGATAGAAGTGACAATGGCGGAGACACATGCAAATGTGAAGATACTGTCGAAGAAACGACCCAGACAGCTTCTGAAACTGGTTGCCAGATTACAAGATCTACGGCTCACCATTCTCCACCTCAACGTGACAACGATGAATGAAATGGGTTTGTATTCGATTAGTGTGAGGGTGGAGGAAGGTTGCCATTTTAACACTGTGGATGAAATTGCAGCAGCTGTTAATCAAATGCTAGGAAGAATCCAAGAAGCTGTTTTTTAGGGAATTTGGGATTAATTTTATGGATCCTTTGCCATCAAAATTGTTAAAGTTTGAAATCCTCCTTGTAATATGGAGACATACAATGTAGTGTTTACAGTGTTTGTTTGTTAAATTGTAAGTGATCTCGATAGCTAAATTGTTACAGTAGCTTTTTGGTTAAACTTTCATTATCAAATAAGACTTAGAAACAGGGATATTCCCAGGTCTTCCGGTTGGTTTTCTTTCGACATGATAACTTCATTTTTGTTTTCTTTTAACAAACCAAGGTCACTCTTAATCTACTTTAGGGATGTTTTAAAAAATGTCTCGTGGTATTTAATTCCTCAACTCGACAGAAAAAAATCAAATATTTTTTATAGAAAAAGTAAGGTTGTTCGACGGTATAAATAGTTATTTTATTCATTTTTTTCTTATTTTCTTATTTTATTTTTTAATTTTTGTCAAATTTTGATATTGTTGAATTTAAACCGTCAAATGATTAATTGTCCACATATATTATTAATGTGATATTTTTACATATATTCAATTACTGATGTAACATGTAGTATGATGACATGATATGTGTTACACCATTCAAAGTGATGATTAGCATATGGCATCAAATTGATGACATGAATGTCAAGTCAACAATTGAATATATTTAAAAATATCATATCAGTAACATGTGTTTTCCGTTAATCAACTAATGATTTTCATCAAACATGGTTTATTTTGAACAAAAACTGAAATATTTAGAATTAAAATATTTCAAAATAAAATAAGAGACAAAATTTGACCCAATCTGTAAAACTAAATAAAATTGACTTAAGTTAAAATTATTTATGATCCGAGATGTTGATAACTTGAAATCAACTAAAATCTAAATTGATGTTGGATTGAACCTGAGTTCAACATAATATATTTAGATCTTAAACCGATCTGCACCTATTGTAGGTTAAATCCGTTGTTTCATGGTTTTATGTAACAACAATGTTTTGCATTAATTATAGATGTCAACGCCCCTAAAATGTTCGTGTTAACATTGTATTGGTTATTTCTCGAAACGACATAAAGAATAATGTGCACCTACCATTCTAGTGTTGGAGTGTTTGCGACCGCTCGATCTTTTTTTATTGTAGTAGTGTGATATTTTTGCTTAATTCACATCATTGTCTGTAGTTTTCAACTGGTTTGATCGGCTGCTGCTTTGGTTCTTTTCAGGGAGCCTTGTAGTTATTATGTGTTCAAATTTTCTTGGAGTAAGCATCTTGACAGCAACAGAGGCCCGGAGTTGCTTCAATCTTGTTTTGATCTTGGAGGTGGTGGTTTCTCGTTGAAGAGTGTTTTCGAATGGTTGCTCAGATTGTAAGTTGCATTACTACGGTTCTTTCACAAAGACAGTATTTTAAAGACTTGATTTTTCAAAGCTTGTTAGTTATGTATTAGATAACAAGAGTTGGTGTAGCTAAAGTTGGTATGTTACATGTAGTTGAAGTTTGTTAGCTTATGAAGTTTATTAGAGCTATTTTACAAAGCAGTTAAGCTTGCCGGCTAGGAGTCGGTTATGCCAGGTTGGCTAGTAGTTGGTTATAGTTTTACCTATATATATTTCTCATTGTATCTTTGAAAAAGAAATGAATAAGATTTACCTTTGTGATATTGGTATTGAGTTTCTTAACATGGTATCTTATGCCAAAGATCCTAGAGTTTGCTTGGCTGCGTTATGAGGTGTGTGCTCCGGCTACTGTGTTTGGTCTTGTGTGTGGTGCTTCATTCGTGGCTTTTTCCATCAGTGTCAAGATGTTTACTAATAAGAAGGTAAATGTGGTTCTTGACGAGATGAACTTCCTTTTACGAAAACAACAAGTTGTTCATACTGTAAGGAGTCATCTCCTCGAACGATTGCTTACCGGTGCGATGCAGCCCCCGCTTGAGATGGTTGCTGATGAGAATGAAGCCTTGATCTCCAATGAAGCATATGAGGATTTTGTTGCTCACCGGTGCAGTGGCCTCCTGGCTATTGTCTACCATTAGTGCTCACCTTTTACCGCTGAAACAACTGCTACTGTTTGGAGTATTGTACTTCAGTTCTTTGCTAATAGATCTACAACCTCTGTTATGAATTTGCATTATAAGTTGCAGTCTATTAAGAAGGGCGATGATAGCATGAGTGTGTATCTTACTAGGGTTAAAGAAATTTATGATGCCTTGGCATCGTGTGGTAGTCATGTTACTGTTGTGGAGCACATTGCTAGTATTCTCAAAGGGCTTCCAAGGGATTATCAACCATTCATGGCTATCATAACGTCTTCTAGAGATTCTCTTCCCTTAGATAAAGTTTATACTATGCTTGTTGATGCTGAAACATAGTTTGTTGGGTTTTTTACTCAAAAGAAGAGTGTTATTGCGAGTGCACATGTTGTTTGTAGTGTTGTGGTTGGTTTTGATGGTGGTGGTCGGCCTCAGCCACAACGATCTTATTCTGGTGGTCGTTATGGGGCCGTGGTTGAGGGAAGTCACGTGTCCAGTGTCAACTGTGGGAAAATGTTGGGTATCTGGTCAATGGATGTTGACACAGGTTTGATGAGACGTTCACCGATGTTGCTGATGATGCTCGACAGTTTTTCTCTAAGCAGGATTCAACTAATGCTCATGTTGCCATTAGTGATACTTTTGGTTGTGATTTGTTCCATGCTAAGAAGCGAGACGAGTTGCCTTTAGCTCATACAGATCTTGCTACTGAATCCAATCAGTGGGTGATAGATTATGGTGCCACACACCATATCATACCTAAGCCTAAAAATGTCACTCCTCAGGCATATCACTTTGGTCCAGGTAATTTAGTTGTGGGTAATAGTGATTCATTGAAAGTTAATATGGTTGGTACTGCAGTGTTAACTTCTTTTTCTCGTCATTTTCTCTTAAGTGATCTTCTGTATGTGCCTGGTGTAACGAACAATTTACTTTCGGTTTTAAAGTGTGCTAGGGACAATGAAGTTTAGTTTGAGTTTCACTCAATTGCATGTTATGTTCGTGATAGCTCTACGATCAAGGTGCTGCTTATAGATAAGGTTAAATGTGGTCTATATGTATTTTCAAAAGATTGTTCACTAGGTGTTTGCAATAAAGAGCATGCTAGTGTTGCTAATGCTCATGACTCTAGCTTATATGATGTATGGTATAGACGGCTGGATCATGCCAGTTATAATACTTTAGTTACAGGTTTTAAGGCCATTGATGTAAAACTTCATTCGAATGTTAATGAAAAATGTGATGCTTGCTGCATTGGCAAAATTCATAAGTTATCGTTTCCTTCTTCCACTTCTGTTTATAATTCTCCATTTGAGTTGGTGTTTACTGATCTTTGGGGTTCTGCTCATGTTTCTTCTAGAGGTTTTAAGTATTACTTAACATTTGTGGATACATATTCTAGGCACATTTGGATTTATTTCCTGTAAAACAAATCTCAGGTTGTTTCAGTGTTTCGATTATTTTAGAAACTAGTTATGAATTAGTTTCGGATTTTTATTAAAGTAGTTCAAAGTGATTGGTGTGGAGAATATAGATGCTTATCTCCGGTTTTGCTACAGGATGACATTGTGCATAGCCTTACTTGTCCTCACACTTCTTAGCAGAATGGTTTTGTGGAGAGAAAGCATAGGCATGTCATTGAACTTTCTTTAGTTCAATCCTCTATGCCTGTTCAATATTGGTTTTATGCAACCATGACTGCAATGTATATTATTAATCGTTTATTAACTAAAGTGCTAGGAAGAATATCACCATATGAGCAACTTCTTGGGAAGAAACCGGATTATGATGTAATGAAAGTGTTTGTTTGTAAGTGTTTTCCTCATTTAAAGTCGTTTCAAACACATAAGCTTGAGTTTCGATCTCAAGTGTACATGTTTTTAGGTTATAGCCCTCAACACAAAGGATATCCTTATCTTACCTCAAGTGGTAGAGTTTATGTGTCTCGTCATGTAGTTTTTGAAGAATATGTCTTTCCATTTGCAAGTTTATCTAACAAGTCTCCTACAATAGGTGTAGTTGGTTTTTCTGCAAATAAGTCAGCTGAACTAGAAGTTGTAGCTGACATTTCAAGGTTACAGGTAGTAGTTGCTCAGCCTGATTGCTCATTGAATGACCTGGGTGTTGCTGAGTCTAGTGGTACACTGCAGAGGTTTGTCCAAGTTGAGTCAGTGAGTTCTGAGTCATCACATACAGTGGTTGGTGAACATTTATCTTCAGATAAGTCTGATGAAGTGATGGCTTTTAATAATGAGACACTGTTCAAGTTGTTGATGGGGTCGTCGATATGCCTGAGCATTTCAGTACATCTACACCAACAATGAATAGTCACCCTATGCTCACGAGGAGCAAATGTGGCATTTTTAAACCAAAGCATTTGTAGTGACTTCTGAAACTATGAAACATGTTAATGTGTATGATGCGTTGAGGTCTTCCAACTGGAAAGCAGCAGTTCATGCTGAGTTTGATGCTTTGCAGCGTAATGGCACATGGACTGTGGTGAAGTTACCTCCTAGACGATTAGTTGTAGGGTGTAAGTGGCTTTTCAAACTAAAAACAAATCCATATGGTTATGTTCATCGCTACAAGGCTCAGTTGGTTGCTAAAGGGTTCTCTCAAGTCCCAGGACAGGATTTCAATGAGACTTTTAGTCCAGTGGTTAAGTTTGCTACACTTCATGTTGCCTTGTCTCTTTCTGTGACTTAGTATTGGCAAATGCATCAGGTTAACATTAATAATGTGTTTTTAAATGGAGAGTTGCATGAGGAAGTATATATGAAACACCTCCAGGGTTCGAACAATATGCTGAGGATTATAGTAAACTTGTTTGTAAACTGCACAAGGCACTATATGGATTACGTCAGGCACCTCGCAATTGCATGCTCGGTTAAAGCAATGTCTACTTTAGCTAGGGTTTACTGAATCTAAGGCTGATACATCACTACTTATTCGTAATAACATGGGTGTGTTAACGTATATGCTAGTGTATGTTGATGATATTGGCATCACTGGAGCTTCAGATATTGAGATTGATGATATA